TTGCGTGCAGACTGAGCGTCTCGTTGTCCCTCGACGTGCGCAGCACCTGTCGCAGGCAGAGCCACACCGAGTCCGCGTCCCAGCCGGCCACGGTCAGCATCAGCTGGCGCGCCGCCGTCTGCAGCTCGTCCGACTGCCGGCTGCTGAGGTAGGGCAGCGCGGCGCGCAGCAGCTCGTCCAGCTCCAGCGCGTCCAGCCGCAGCCGCGCAGCCACCTCACCCAGCAGCTGGAGGCAGGTCAGCTGCAGCTTGTAGGTCTGCGTGAACGCGTAGTTTCCGGCTGGCCGCTGGGCAGCGCTGGTGGCGGCCTGCGCGCGCAGCCAGGTCAGCAGCGGCCGGAGCGGGCCGGTCGTGACGCGTCGCCGCAGGAAGTCGCCGGCGCTGCACACCAGTGCGTGCAATGCGGCCAGCGCGTAGCGCAGCAAGCGGCTCGGTGGCGCGGCAGCGCAGCAGCGCAGCAGGCTGCCAGCAGCGCGCCGCCAGCGGCAGCAGCTCGTCCTGCCAGGCAGCCAAGAGCCGGCTGCCGGCCGCTAGCGTGGCCAGCACGTCCACCTGAACGGTGATCACATCACAGTCTAGGAAGTGCACGCTCTGCTGCACCACGTCACGCACCAGCCGCACGTGCAGCGGCACTTGGGGCTTGACCTCCTCCGCCGGCTCTTGCGCGGTCGTCTCAGGCTCGGCGTCCTCCGCGGCCGCCCGTTGTCGCCGGAACCCCTCGGCGGCGTCCTCGGGCGGCTCCTCGGCGTCCACACGCGCCAGCTCCTCCCGCAGCGCCGCCTGGCGCCGGTGGTGCGCCAGCAGCCGGTCGCGCGCCGTCGGCGGCGGCGGCTCGGCGGCGGGGCGGCGCGTCCGTGGGTGGGTACCAGCCGAGCACGGCGTCGACGGTGCGCCGCAGTGCGGACAGGCAGGCGGCGCCGCACCGCTCGTAGTCCTCGTCCAGCGCACGCATCACGGCGCGCACAGTATCCTCGAGGTAGGGGAGCGCGTCCGGCTCGGAGCATTGCAGCACGGCCGCCACCAGCAGCGGTGCCGCCTCGCGGCCGCGCCGGCTCGTCAGCCGGCTGCGCACGTGCACCGCCAGGCGGCACACGTTGTCGCGGACGAGCGCCGGCACGCCCGCCTCGTCCGGCCATGGCCTTCACGTCGGCGCGCGCCGCCTCCGCCACCCAGCGGGTCGGCGCCCCGGCCGCCGCCTCCAGCACCTGGCACAGCGCCAGCACGTGCAGCGCGCCACGTTCCGTCCGCCGGTGAAGCGCGCCACGTAGCGAGCCCCTCCAAGCCGAGGCAGCGACGGACAGCCGGCTGGGTGGGCTCGTAGTGAGTATCAGCAGCGGCTCTATGTTCCAGCTCGCTGCAGCAGGGTCGTGCTGCGGCGCGACGCCGCGCGTCGCCAGCAGTGCCGGCTCCTGGCCCAGCAGCAGCTGGTTCCAGACGACGCGGTCCTCGTCGGCTGATCCGTCCGTCTCCAGCAGCTCGAGCAGCGTCAGCAGGTCGCCGTGGCAGCCGAGCAGCCGGCACGCCGAGCAGACGCGCTGCCACACCTCCGGCTCGTCGAAGTGCCGGAAGCGCTTGAAGTCGGGCATGCGGTGCGGCGCGCCGGTCGGGCCGCAGCTCGTCACGTACGGAACGAGCGCCGCGTCGGTGCGCAGCTCCACCAGCTGTGTCAGGCAGCTGAGCAGCAGGCGCACGTGCGCCGCCGACGCAGTCAGCTGGCGCACGCGCGGCCCCAGCAGGTGCAGGTAGCCCTCGAGTAGCGACAGCTGCACCAGCGAGGCCGGCACGTTGTGGCTGCGCATGACCGCCGGCAGCCGCGCCGTCAGGGCGTAGAAGTCCTCCTCGACCGCCTCGACCAGCGACTTGGACATGGCGCGCGCCTGCACCTGGCGCAGCGCCGCCTCGGCCGCCTGGCGCACCCGCCGGCACGCTGTCGCACGACACGAGGATGAGCAGCTGCAGCAGCGGCGAGGCGCAGTTGGGCAGCGTGCCGGCGCACCGCGTCAGCACGCTCTCGGCGAGCCGGACCACGCTCAGCCGCACGTCGGCCTGGTGGTGGCGCGTCAGCGGCGTCACGCGCGCACACATCGCCAGCAGTCGGGCGGCGGTGTCGCGCAGCCACACCCTCGCCGCGCGCCAGACTGGGCAGCCGCGCGTCGGCGGCGCTCGGGTCCGGCAGCGGCGCCGCGGCGTCGCCCGCCACGGCCGCGTCACCCATCACATGGCACACGAGCGCCGCCCAGGCGTGCACGGCGCGGTGCGATCACGCGTGCCCCTGCTTCATGATCGCCGGCGAACACGGCGTGCAGGGCGCTGAGCACGCCCGGCAGCAGTGCCACGAACACCGAGGTCCGGGCGCGGTGCCGGAGCGCGTCCGACAGCGGCCGCTCGGCGGCCGGAGCAGGGCCAACAGGGCTGTCGCATGGCGGCCAGCCGCAGCTCGCGGCTCCGCTCGGTCCGCACCAGCGCCGCCAGGTGGAACACGGCGTGGCCTAGCGGCATTCGACTCGCGCTCCGATAACAGCGGCCTCCAGCGCTGGCGGCGCGCAGCTCAGCACCAGCGCCGTGCCACATCGCACGGCCGCCAGGCGCAGCTCCTCGCTGCCCTGCTCCGGCTCCGTTCGCTGGCGCCGCGCCCCAGCAGCAGGAACACGCGCGGGAACAGGTCGGGGCCGCCAGCGCCGCGTTGCCGGTGCTGGAGCGCTCCACAACGGACGTCATCAGCTGCAGCGCGGCGATCGTCAGCCGCTCCCCCGCTTCGCAGTTGGAGGGATGCATGCACAGGGAAAGGAGATATTCCTGGATGGCCTGCAGAGAGGCTTTGTCTCCAGAGTGATGTTCAATGATGCTACGCATTTTCTGCACATTCTTTGTGTGGGGTTCCGTGATAACTTTGATGCAGACTGGTTGGATGATGTGGAACAATGATGAGCTTTGTGGATCTGGGCTTCATCCTGAAATGTCAAGACACACATGAGGTGTATGATATGGAACAATGCATGTTGGAAATGTTAGCTTTACCCACACTTACACTACATGAAATCTTCCAATATCTGACTTTCTGTATACAAGCTGTTGATGTTAAGAGGCCCTATGGACATGGTGACTCATGTTCATCTCATGCTCAAAGAGGAAGGGAACCAGAATTGTATCTTTGGAATGGTCAAAGGCTGTGTGAGCATTTGGCATGTTCCAAAATCTGCCTTCTTTAACTGTTTGTACCAATACCACCCATTCTAACATATATCCTGAAATGCACTGGTCTGGATGCAGGGTTACCTGATATGCACAGATCAGGCCTTTGGGCATGAGTAACAGTCTAAGACAATACAGCATGCTTAGTTAAGTTTATTTTCACATAGGGTCAGCAAACTGTATACTCCTTCCATGTGAAAGAATATTGTGTATCTGATTGGGAGTCTGACAAAACAGCAGCTATGGTAACCTGTGAACTGCAGTTAATCAGTTGATGTTAGAAAAGGGGGGTTCAATGCACTGCAGTTAATGACTTTTAGCAACACCTCATCAGCTAAATTAAGGTTCTGTACCAATACAACAAAATTGCATTATACAATTTCCAGAAGTCACTAAATACCTGTTTTTCTACAGTATAAGACATTGCTCATTCACATGAACTGTTGTTCCATAAATTAAGGTTACACCACTGCTAACACATGTCTAGTATTCTTAATAATCAATATTTCATTTGCACATGAAGCCTGCATGCATGCCTGCAAAGTATGCATTCCAGACCACTACTCCAAGGTAACTTGACTAACAGCATTCTGCAGTTATTCTGTGCATGAACTGCAGCTTCATGGTTATATACTCAAGCAATAGAAAAATCTGGAAATGTTTTTAAAATCCAGCTTTCATTGCACACTGTTTATCAGCCACAGGCCCTTCCACTACATGTTTAAGGAACTTGTAAAAAGTTTGTTTACAACAAGATACTCAAGACAGAAGTTGCTTTAATCAATTTGGTTTAATTCAACACCATATTTGTTCCTCTTGCCACGATGATAGCTTGACAACACCATATACAGGCAGCAGGCAAGTTTGGTTAAAAAACACAAGTTGCATTACGCTGCTCATCTACCGGAAAAAACAGCATGCTTTGAACAGCACAACAAATAAGGGGCTACCTGGGACAAAGCTTCTCAACCCAGAATAAGTTGCCACCAGTACGACACGACTGCGAGGCCCTTCACGTCAAATTCACACCACCGTTCTAAATCCGTATCAGGCTACTACGCCGGTATCAATAATATACGCGAGTGATCCGCCGGTTGTGTAGCTTCTGCGGCATTTACGTCTTCTCATTTCATTTGTCACATCGTTTGGTTCCCTAAATCGGCGCCATTTGCCCTAAAACCAGTACTTCAATACAAATTAAGGGGAGGGCGACAAAGACAGCAAGTGAGTCATATCATATCTGGACAGTGTCGTGAGCACAATAGGACCGAAATGCAATATTTCCAGAATGATGAATATCTCGCAGCGGCGGCGTCTGCCTCGTGGGCGACAACCGCGACTGCTGAGTCCGTTTACCCAATGCAAATGAGTGAAAGGAATTTCCAGCAAGTTTTTCCTCTCCTCATTGAATAACGGATGTGTCTTCCAAGAATCATATGACCAGCTGAAAATTTGCTGTTAATATGCTGTTATTGCATACGACCGCAGTTGAAAATGCGTATTACGTAACAAGCGAACGTGATTTTACAATACAGCTGCTGATGGGTGGCTGGAAATGAAATGCACACTGAAATATAATTTTGACATAACTGCTCGTATTCGTTAAAAGCATCAAAATGTATGTTATTGATCACTTCAGCAGATAACTATTTCATAACAAATTTTGAGAAAACTATCAACCTGAGCACAAAATGGGGCGAACCAATGACGTTATACTACTAAATATTAGCCAATTTTTCAGAATTTTTAAGGGACAGCTGTCAACTTTTCTCTGTGCTGAGGAAACTGAGCGTTTGTTGTGTCGTCTGCTCTTATTTACATCGCAACCATGGCGGGCATCTGTCGCGCGGCGGGTCTTCTAGCTGGGAAAGGATTTGCATCCATTTCGGTGAGATATCCTAGGTGCTACTGATACATATTGGTGGAAATTGTTCTCTTCTTGACACTGACGCTAATAATGCTGCGTATCTCTGCCCCGCCCAAGGCCGCGCCGATTCTGCCTTAGTTTAGCTCTGCTGTTATATACCAGTTATGTAACAAATCAAACATTGATCTAACGTCGAAATCACAGCCTGAGCTGCCCATGACGTTGTGAGTCCTATTTCAAAGACAATGCTGTATGTATGAGAGCCTCTGAAAACCACCTGTAATGTAGTTGTTGATCTCCATCTACTCACAGGGCTCAGAATGTTACATGATGCTGACTCAAAGACTGCCATGTCCTGTATGATGAAAGTCGAGGCATGTGTGTGAAGCATGCAAGGGCACTATGCCTAAGGGCTGATATTTCAAAAAGTTTTACTTTTTACATGTCTACATTTCTGGCCGTCAATAGTGGTGTGTTATGATGATCTTGTTTTGGGAGGAGTGAAGCACAACTTCCCACTTGAGGAAAGTTTGCAAAATTTAGGGCAGATATCATGGAATTGGACCTTTGAGGCCACTGTGATGTGTTCTTGGGTACATTCAGCTGATAAGATTGTAGGAAAGGACCAAATCTGATGGCAAAGCATTACATCAGGTTACATAAGGGTCCATGTTTAGGGAGCAGTGGAGTTCACAAAATCTGGCCCAAAGGTGGCAAATTACTGTCCTATTTGGGTCATAATTTAGTCTGCCCAAACATTGTACTGGCATATTTGCCATGGCTTGCACCTCGGCCTTACAATTTACCTACAAGTTACCAATAACTTAGCCAATTACCTTTGGCGGAATGGTTCGGCAAGCCCCTAGTGTTTTGTTATACACTTAACAAATTCTGATAGCATTTGACTGAGGACAACTATATAATGTGCCAGTTGGGCCAATTGGCCAACCATGGTCATTGAACTATGATCACATGTTGTTTTAAATATCACATGCAGATAAGGGAGTAATAATGTCAACACCAGAGATGAAATGTATGCTGTACAAATCATGCTCATAAATGTAAACAATAGCAAGTTCATAGATAACTGCAAGTAGGTGCAAATTTTGCTAATACAGAGCATGTTATGAGAACATTTAGGTAAAGATCAGCTTTGATCTAGATAACCATAGTTCCAAGATAACCAAGTTCATAGATAACTGCAAGTAGGTGCAAATTTTGCTAATACAGAGCATATTATGAGAACATTTAGGTAAAGATCAGCTTTGATCATGGTCTTTGGTGACCTGTAATTGTGAAAGATCACTTACAGATGAGGAAAAGAAAAATTGTAAGCTGAAAAGGAATGTAATTGACACATGAACATGCTACATACATTCTGATATTATCTCATTTTTTGCCAATTGTTTTTTACAGGGCTATGTGGCACCTTGTGCGGCAACCGTGCAGCGGAATTTCCACTTCACCATTGAAGGACGCACAGCAGATGCTAATGCCTCCCGCTCAGCACAGGTATGTGAACATGCAAATACTGCTGATGTGACTGAAAGTATGGAACATTATGTAATTTTTCACTCTTGGAGCTACATTATTGTGGGAACTGGGTGGCAAATTTGGTTTCAGTTTCAAGGTTTTACCTGAGGCATGCCAAGTCTAAACAATGTTTGTATTTGTCACTACCATAGCCAGCAATGCTATACACAATCATACCATTATACCATAAGCTGAAAATGAATGTAACTGACATGAACAGGAACAGTATACAACCATCAAATACCTTCAGAACCACTGTGGGAGCATCCAAGCAAACTGTCTTGTTGCCTTTTTTATAGAGGACTACTTTTTAACAACAAAATTGATCACAGAGCTTAACATTCAGCCCTCACCTGATCTTCCCATCAGGCTCTCGCCTATGCAGCATGCTGTGAGCCTGCCACTCACTCCAGCTTGGCAGGAGTGCATCCATCACCAGGTCTTGTGTGTTCACCACCTGATCTTGTGTATTTGCCGCCAGATCTCCCGCGACTACCCGGTAGTGGACCACACATATGACGCCGTGGTGGTGGGTGCCGGCGGCGCTGGCCTGCGCGCCGCCTTCGGCCTGGTCGAGGAGGGCTTCCGTACGGCCGTCATCACCAAGCTGTTCCCGACGCGGTCTCACACGGTGGCGGCGCAGGGTGGCATCAACGCCGCGCTCGGCAACATGGAGGACGACAACTGGCAGTGGCACATGTGAGTCGCCGCCAGCGCGCGCCTGGGTGATGTCCTGGGAAGAAATGCCAGGGAATGATGTGGGACAGATGGACACTGGTGTTATTGATTACTGATCTGTTCCGTGCTAGGTTATATGATCATTTTGGTGAGTCAGGTCGACGGACTGGCGCGACATTGCTAGGGTGATTATGTGACTTAAGTACGCCTTTCCCAGCGCGCTGCACTCGCTGTCCATTGCAGTGACGTCACCTGCCTACCACCGCCATCCATGCTCGTCTCGTGATGATAGTGGCCTCCGCTCTGATCAGGTACGACACGGTGAAGGGCTCTGACTGGCTGGGTGACCAGGACGCCATCCACTACATGACGCGCGAGGCGCCCAAGGCCGTCATCGAGCTGGAGCACTACGGCATGCCCTTCAGCCGAACCAACGAGGGCAAGATCTACCAGCGCGCCTTCGGTGGACAGTCGCTCAAGTTCGGAAAGGTAGGGCACCGGCGGAACTCTTGATGGCGGGCGAATGATCGGCTGAGTTGTTGTGGAGTGCTGAGTGGAGCGTGTCGTTTACATATGCGATCGCCCAAAGGAGGATATTGCTAATGAGTATTACTTTTGTATTGTGCTCAGTCATGGCTTCTTCCGATGTTTTCTTTGTCAGACATGGTTTTGTTTTCCCTCAGCGTGTGTTATCAGGAAACCTTGAATATGATGTGGGGTTGAGGCAGCTCCCGACTGTTGTCAGCCAGTTTTGCCTTCAGTTGCCTGTTGATCCAGTACAGGCTCACCTTGTTCGCTTTTTGCATCGGTGCTGGAGGGCAGCTCCGAACCTTGACGCCCGCCAATTCTGGCCTCCATGCTTGGTCTCCCATCACCGAAGTGTGGCCGTGACGGTGGGCCGCGCGCCGGGGCGACGGGCCCGACCCCGCTTGCCGCGGCGGGCCGGCCGTGTCTGACCGGCACGGCTCGCGCCCGCGTCGCCGCAGGGCGGCCAGGCGCACCGCTGCTGCTGCGTGGCCGACCGTACCGGGCACTCGCTGCTGCACACCCTGTACGGCCAATCGCTGCGCTACGACTGCAACTACTTCATCGAGTACTTCGCGCTCGACCTTCTGATGGAGGAGGGCGAGTGCCGCGGCGTGATCGCGCTCTGCCTGGAGGACGGCTCGCTGCACCGCTTCCGCGCCAAGAACACGGTGAGTGGGCGTCCGCCTTCCGGCAGGAGGGGGCCGCGCTCCCGGGGCCCGGTGGGCAGGCGCCTCCCGGGGCCTGGCGGGCCCCGCCACCCGCGGAGGCGGTGCGTGGTAGCTCCAGTTGGAGTGTGCCAGCTCCACTAAATAGAAACCTATGGTTGGTTGTAGATCGATGTTTTGTTTTGTCGTGTACAGGCGTGAAAGGACGGCGGCGGCAGAAAACGCGAACAGTCGCGGTTGCCAGCCGCCGGCTGTCGATACGCGCTGAGCCTCCCGGGGCTGTCGTACACACCGGGGACGGTTGTGAGACGCGACAGCACGTGACACCCGCCTGCCGCCCCAGGTGCTGGCGACAGGCGGCTACGGGCGCGCGTACTTCTCGTGCACGAGCGCGCACACGTCCACCGGCGACGGCTCGGCGATGGTGACGCGCGCCGGCCTCGCCAACCAGGACATGGAGTTCGTCCAGTTCCACCCGACCGGTGCGTGCGGCGCCGTCGTCCGCTGGCGCTCGAGCGGCTGCTGCCCCGTGCTCAGATGTGGTCTGAGGCGGCGGGGGTGGGGGACATCAGCAGGTGGTAGGCGGTGCGCGCTGTCGCGTCGGCGTTTCCACTGAGATCATGTTCGTGAAGTCCCACGTGAGTACCCACGTGACATTGACGGCGATCAGCAGTCGTGTTGCAGTGAGCTCCATGCAGTGCCCTGAACCGCGCCGTCCTTCGCGCCGGGCCCAGTCCAGCCGCTGACGCCGCCGCGCCGGCCGCTGCAGGCATCTACGGCGCTGGCTGCCTGATCACGGAGGGCTGCCGCGGCGAGGGCGGCTACCTCATCAACTCGGAGGGCGAGCGGTTCATGGAGCGGTACGCTCCCGTCGCCAAGGACCTGGCCTCGCGCGACGTCGTCTCGCGCAGCATGACCATCGAGATCCGGGAGGGCAGGTGAGGCGCCGGCGGCGGCGTGGGCACCGCCTCCGTACCAGCCCCCGTCACTGGAGTGTGATAACAAACAGAGTCGGTGGTTCCAGTGTAAGAAGTGCCTGGGGTGTCACTGGTAGTGGTGAACGACAAGTCGTTCGTCGCGATGTGGAAACTGGTCAGGCCTGGGCACAAGCAGCCTTTTGGTTGCGAGGTACACGCTGATATTTGCAATTTGTTGCGAGGGTTGACGACCGTATCTGTGTGGTCATGCTTGACGTCTGGAGATGGCTGCGGGTTTCAGTCATTCTGTCTGATCTGACCTCCATGCCGGGGCTGTGAGTACAGATCCGACCCCGACTCCCTGGGGTACAGGTCAGGGAAGGAACCACGTGTACCTGACCCGTCCCGCTCTGTCCCCGGGGCGTGGGTCCGGGGAGGGACCACGTGTACCTGACCCGTCCCGCTCTGTCCCAGGGATGTCTGTCCGGGGAGGGACCACGTGTACCTGACCCGTCCCGCTCTGTCCCAGGGGCGTGGGTCCGGAGAAGGACCACGTGTACCTGCAGCTTCACCACCTGCCGCCGGATCAGCTGGCTGCCCGCCTGCCGGGTATCTCTGAGACGGCCATGATCTTCGCCGGCGTGGACGTGACGCGCGAGCCCATCCCCGTGCTGCCCACCGTCCACTACAACATGGGCGGCGTACCCACCAACTACCGCGGACAGGTGCGAGCCGCTCGGCGCCGCCGGCCGGCTGCCGTGGGCGGCGGCATGGCTGCTTAGGCGCTGACTGGGAAGTCATTAAGTCATTGGGGAGTCATTGAGTGGGGATGGGATAAGTGCGAAAGGACGGAGCGCCTTTTCGAGCCATTTTTTTCTCTTTGCTATGGGTAACTGATGGTAGACTATCAGTACAGTTGATAAAGTGTAGCTTTCCTAGCACTATGCCATGTTGCCCGAGCTTGTTTTGTCGATGTTCAGGCACTCCCCACTTCCGCGCCTCTGACACTTTTGCACCCTGCCGGAGCATCTGCTGCCCATGTCCCCAAACATGCCGACCAGCTTAATGACCTGAAGGCACGCACCCGCCGCGTCGCCGCTCCCGTCTGCTCACATCTGCGCCGCCGCCGCCGCCTCCAGGTGATCCAGCACGCGAACGGCCAGGACCACATCGTGCCGGGTCTGTACGCGGCCGGCGAGGCCGGCTGCGCCTCCGTCCACGGCGCCAACCGGCTGGGCGCCAACTCGCTGCTCGACCTGGTGGTGTTCGGTCGCGCCTGCGCGCACAGCATCGCCGCCGACCACAAGCCCGGAGAGACGGTGGGCGCCCTCAGCGAGGTGAGCGGTCTGGGCTGGGAGGGAGGGGGAGAGGCTCTCCCGGCGGGCTGGGAGACTGGGGTTAGAGATGTGCTTCCTGCGGGGCGGTGGCAGAGAGGGTCTCGCGGTGGGATGAATGGCAGTGAAGGTCTCCAAGCGGCAGAACACCACCAGGCGAGGGGGCGGTGGCTGGACTCGGCGAATGTGCCACGTCGATGCTGGAAGCCTGCCGGCGCCGTTGTTTTATGTTGGCTCGGGTGCGTCCGCCTCCGCACTGCCTACGGCAATGGTGCTCCGTTGGCGTGTGCCCGTCAGGTCGAGCTCGGGTGGTGGTAACCGAGCACGCGTGGATGGAAGTGCTCACCCTCCATTGTGAGGGCGGCTCGTCCACGTCACTCAACGTCTTGAGGTCCAAGGCTGGGGTGATAGCCCGCGGTGGGGAAGTGCTGGTTGCCTATGTGCTGGAGGACGCCGCTCTGGGCCTGGGAGCACGCGGCGATTGAGTGCTGGTGTCTGTGCGCTGGAGGACGCCCCGCGAGGTCTAGGCGATCGGTTACTGGTAGCCCGCGGTGGGGGAGCGCTGGTTGGCTGTGTTCTGGAGGCAGCCCTACGGGGTCTGGGCGTCCGATTACGTAACGGCGCGTCCCGTCATCAGTGGACCCGAGCGGCCCGCACTGCCGACGGATCGCAGTCTCAGACGAACGGCCCGCACGACTGTATTTATAGACGCACGGGCGGCCTGTGCTGGCCGGCTGCCGAGGCTGCGCTGGCCGTCCTATTTGTGCGAACTGGGGATTATTGGCCCCGAAATGATGCGTAACTATCCATGCCAGCAATGCGTACACAACATCATGTTTGTTGGTGTATGGCGGTGTGGCATCCATTTCTTTATGTGTGTTATTTGTAATATGCAATGTCATTGGGGGGTTGCAATGTGTTTATCAAAATCGTTATTAATGAAGCCAGGTACCTTCCTTCCCAAGCGCCATGTTGATGGAACGGAAGTTTTTGGCATGCTTCTCAGTTAAGCAGATTTCATTCAACTTAGCTTGACCGAGCTAGGTGAGCGTTGTCGCGTTCCAGGTGGCCGACATAATCCTCACGTATTCCGTCAGTGTTCCATGCTGACGGACGCTGACCGTGAGCACACGTGCTTGGCGTCGCTCGCCGCTGTTTCGCCTCGTGTGCGGTCGTCTGCCCCCTCCGAGGTCACCGCCGGTGGCACCCGTGGCTGACGCGGAGCCCGCGCCGACAGAACGCCGGCGAGGCGTCGGTGGCCAACCTGGACACGCTGCGCCACGCCGACGGCATCACCCCCACGGCCAACCTGCGCATGCAGATGCAGAAGACCATGCAGAACCACGCAGCCGTCTTCCGCACCGGCGAGGTGCTCCAGGAGGGCTGCAACAAGATGGCCGAGGTGTACGAGAATATGGAGGACCTGAAGGTGAGAGAGGCGGCGGGCGGCTGGACAGCGACGCGGAGTCTCGCACGACTCCCAGCGAGAGCGATTGGTGGGCCGCGGCGCGCGAGGCGGGGCCGGCGAGTCTTACAAGTAAATGAAGTAGTGCTTGATCTTGTGGCCTACTGGCGATGGTGGAGTAGTAGCGGAAGTCGGTGAAATAGCTTCCTATTGGCGAGACCTCTGGTCGAGTCTGCGTTGAACGGCGGGACAGTTGTAGCTTTCGTGATTCAGCCCTGCGTGCCGTTACAACCTCCAGAAGCAGAGTAATGCGACCAATTCTCGCAGCCCTGTCAGGGCAGATGAGGGCATGATGAATGTAGCTGTCGACCGAAAGACACCCAGTGCTACCTTTTTCAAAAGTGGTCGTGAATAATCATACTCTGATCGAGAGAGATGTTGAGCCCCTAAATTTAGACAGGCGTGGAGACTGGTTCACGATGGTCAATACCCTGGCAAAACATTCGCCTTTTCCACAAGTGATGTCACGGCGTTGGAATTCTCTCATTGTTATTGCAAAGCCTGAGGTAACTTGTCTCCCAACCCTGTTTGGACGATATCGGCTTGTGTTGGACAAAAATGGCGCGCCATCACGAGACCGTATTTCCAAGCCGGGCCAGGTTTCTCCGCAGGCCTTTTGGAGGGTGTTGAAATGGCAGAGGTCAGGCTGCAGCCGACCCGTGTCGTTAGGCACTGTCAGCCCGGTGGCCGCGTCACGTCAGCGATGCACTGACAGGGGTCGACCTCTACCACACCCAGGCCACCGCCAGTCGGGAGTAAAGCAGCGTTCTTAGATGGCGCGCAAACGTTTCATCAGTGAACTGCTGCCCGCGTAACTTGAAGGACTTCCCTGATGTGTTCTGTTTAGTTTGTTTAATACGGTAGTGTGAGCCATTAGTGTGGTCGTCAGGGGCGTCTGACTTTATTCGCTGAGCTTGCAGTACTATCTACGCCATGACGTTAGCTCTCGCGTCCGTCGTCACTTCACTTGTCTCGCACTGCACATGGCAACCTGCTGGTGTCAATCCATGCGTCAGGCTTAGCGCTGAAGTCACCACATCTGTCTGCATCACGGCCTGTCCGCGTTCTCGGTGGGCTTCAGCGCTCTTGCCAACACACCGGCGGTCGGGCAGAGAAACGCGCCGTCTCTACGTCGCCTCCGCGCACGCACGTGACTAACCGCCCGCCCGTGCCTCTGTCGACAGCTGTACGACCGCGGCCTGGTCTGGAACACGGACCTGGTGGAGACGCTGGAGTTGCAGAACTGCATGCTGAACGCGCTGCAGACCATCTTCTCGGCAGAGGCACGCAAGGAGTCGCGCGGTGCGCACGCGCGCGAGGACTTCAAGGACCGGCTGGACGAGCTGGACTTTAGCAAGCCGCTGGAGGGTCAGCAGGAGAAGCCGATGGAGCAGCACTGGCGCAAGCACACACTCAGCAAGGTGGACATCCAGACCGGACAGGTGGGTGGACCAGGTCGTTGCGTGTTAGTACATGCCAGAAGAGTCATGCCGGCGACCAGCGTCGTCATGTGAGGTTGGACACCCGGTTTCGCTCAGTGGCCGTGCTTGCTCTACGATGCGGTTTGGGGATGATCATCTGTGGAGTAGGGTCATTTACAGAGCATATGGGACAACGTCCTCTGAAATTGTGCTCGTTTAGTTGTGCCGCCGGTCAGCCAGACCGCGGTGGCCGCGCAGGTCGCCCCGCCGCACCATACTATGAGCGTCGCCTGTGATAACCCCGCCCGCCTGACGCCGTGTTGTCGGCCGTCGGCCAGGTGGACCTGGCGTACCGGCCGGTCATCGACGAGACGCTGGACGACCGGGAGTGCGCCACAGTGCCGCCTGCCATCCGCTCGTACTAGCGGCCGACACATCTCTCCGCGTTCTCCGTAGTGACGCCGCGGCGCGACGCCCCGCGCCGGCGGCGAGATCCGGGTCCTCCGGGCCGGCCGGGCACACTCTGTGTTGTGTTGCAGTACTGGGCGCGGCGCCGACGCCGTTGTCGGAGTTGATCGCGCCACATCCTCTCCGCCGGAGAGGCCCCCTCAGGTGCTGACTGTCCATGTTCCCGGGTGGTGCTGGGCTGTACAGTATTTATGCCCGAGACCATATTGTGACTTTGAGTGAATACATGGTGCGAGTGAGTACGTGACGTGTGCGGAGGATTGCCTGGGGTGGCTGACATCGGGAAGTGGAGGGAGATGGATGGTGAATGTTGAGGTGACTGACGTCGGGAAGTGGAGGGAAATGGATGGTGAATGCCTGAGGTGGCTGACATCGGGAAGTGAAGGGAGATGGGTGGTGAAGCTCCGCCGCGTAGATGGGTTAGCCCTCCGCGGACCACACCTGGCAGCCCTCGCCAGCGGGGCGGACTTGCTGCGGACGTTTGGGACCAATAAGATGTGTCGACAGACAAAGGCAAAGGCAAGTCTGTTCGAAGGTCTTGCTAAATAGGTGGTGCGTCAGCGCATTTGATGTTCCTGGCCGTGCTGCATCCTGTTACGCGCTGCGAATGATACATTCGACAGGTCGCACGTAAGCAGTACAAGTCCAGGGAGTTCGAAGTTGATCGCTGTGCGGTTTATGCATCGTCACTCAGCTCGTAGGAAATGTGAATCCGAGAAGCGTATGACACCCAGACTCGATCTTAGGTCAATCAAAGGCACTGTTCACCGCACAAAAAAACTTACAGTATCAGCTGACCGGAGAAGGGGAGCATGTCGGCGCGGTTAGCCACGGTCGGCTTAAAAGTGCCACTTAAAACCCATTTTAGCTCGACGCTGGCGTGCGACATTTATAACATACGACACAACGTCGCGGATTTTCAGTGTACTTGTTTGTACATGTCACTGAAATTTTATTGTGGTTGACGATGCTTCACATGTGCAGTGGCGTAGCAAGGAACTCGCACAGGAGGGGAAAGATCGGGTCACAGGGGGCCCTTCTAGCAAAGAGGGCCCCTCTTCGTGGCTTAGCGGCCCTGTTTTGTCAAGGGGCAAGTTCTCGGCTCTAAATCCAACTGTCCTGCCTCAGGTCCTATTTCGTGCTTTAGAAGCCCTTTGGGCGTCCTCAGCTACCAAAAGTGCTGGGGGTCTTCGGTGCCTGGAAGACCTACGCCACCCCCAGGGTCATGGCCCCCAAATATCCCTTGGCTAAGCCATTGCACACGAATATCGATATTAATGCATGCTATAAGTGAATGGATGACGGGCACGTTTCCCCTTTGAAACGTCTCTTCGAAGCGCTGGATGGTTGTTTTGTATTATATTGGGGGAGGGGCGACCCCGCCCTCAAGCCTTGTGTCAGCCACCAACTTTGTCAGGTACGGAAAAGCAATTTTAAAACAAGATCTAAACCGAACCTTTTGAATGGATGGATTTTTGGGATCACAGCCCACGCTGAGCATTGCCTGTTGTATGAGCCCTGCGATCCGATCGCACGATTCCATGTGAATGGCAGAATTTGGCGTCGGAATGCTGTCGCAATGCTCAGCACGGTTCGCCCTGCTCTCTGACGTCATTTGAACTTTATTGCGGCCGCTGCCACCGAATGCAAGTCATATCTATCAAAGGCAAATAGCGAGGGCCTAAATCGACTTGAACTCACCGTGCCGCGGCTGGTTGAACCGGAAAGCAGGCGCTCTGACCAACTGAGCCATGAGGACGTACTCGACGGATGGAGAAACAGACAATTTAGGAGTTGAATACGTGAGGAAGGCAAAATTCAAGTGATGATGTATATATCTTGAGCAATTTCACTTGGTTTGGCCCGCATCCGATTGCCAAATCTACGCCACCGAGAGAACAGAACGTAGATTGCACGAAATTCATGTCACCCGGGTAAATTTAAATTAGTGGTCTCGTCCGTCCCGGACCGCGGTTAAAGCGGCAAAATTGAATTTCAAGGCACAAACAGTGCGCATAACTTCCCGTTGAGAGTCGGGTGGCCCGCAACGGTTCATTGTTGATAACGTCTGTGCAGTACTGTGGGTTGTTGCTGGGAGTTCGATGTACTTTAGACTTCCAGCTCCTGTGTTCATGTCATTCTTTCTGTCATAACGTACTCGTAAAATAGTGTTATCTCGGTGCCGATTTGGCTTCCGTTCTTCCGATCTTCGAAGTCAAACACAGGCCACAGCCAAGCTTGCCCACTGTTTTGAGCAGGAAGTGTTGGAGGAAAGCGAGTGGTGGCTTTTGAACAGTTAAATGCCAACAGGTAGGTAGTTTGGAACAATTTGAGACGTTTTCACCTGAATCATAATGTTGATGTTCCCAAGCTTCCAAGCAAAATTCAATTAAAAGTTTGAAATACTTAATGTGAACCTTTTTGTGTGCATGAATTTCTGGGATCAGAGCTTATGCTAAGCAGTGTTTGTTGTGTAAGCGCTGGCCACTACCACCAGACCATGCAATTCTGGGTCAACAGCAGAATTTGTTGGGGTAAGCTTGCACAGCATGATCCATCCTGCCTTTGTCTTGATCTTTGTCGGACTGCTGCCTCCAGCCACAAGCCATACCCATCAATGTTAAATGGCAAGTGCCAAAAACTAAGACCCACTCCAACATGGTTGGGTGGATCCAAATGCAGGCATTCTAGCTACCTGAGCTGTTGGGATGGCTGTGATATGATAATTGAGGTTTTGAGGAGTACCAACTTGTAGGGTCATGTGACATATGGGGTGGGTCTCAGCTATTGAGCTATTAAGATGGACAAATGCTTCTCAGTCATCAGTTGTTCATAAGCTGTCTGCCCAAATTCCCAGGCTTATTTACAACTTACCATCAAGTTTTTCTGTTTATCATTCATCCTCATGTTCTCATTGATTTTCATATGTTATCATGTTCATGTTAACCATATTTAACCCAGTGCAGTATCATTTGTTTTGCAGTCAGATTGGGTGTGGACTAGGAATAGGAAACCAGCAATATTTATATGCATCCCAGCTGGCATACCTTTCTGAAAACCTCCCTTCCACCAAACATTGTTGAATGAAGACTGTACTGGTGCTGAATGTATGCCAGTGCAAAATGGTGCAAATAATTGAATGAACATCATCTTAGATTTAAGCCCCATGCAGGGTTGGCCTCCACTAAGGCAGTATTCTGGATATGCCCTTTTATTATGTATATGCATGTTGCGCATTGTGATTACTTATGAAACTAGAAGCTATCAGATTGGTTAAGCCAGTACAATATGACTGATGAAACTTTTATGTTAGGAAGTTTTATTATGTGGAAATTTTAAGGCAGAAGGTTTAGAATTGGCCTTGTAAGCATTCTGCACTGTTTTGAAAATTGGGTAAGTTTGCTGCTCAATACATACAGTATTTCCATTATCATTTTCATTTATAAATACCTCTAGCAGCTGCACTGGGATTTTATTGTGGGTCCTGCTGGCTATTACAGTTGGATATCATACAGCTTCATCTGTACTTACATTGAGCCACTTCCATGCTGAACTGTTGCAAATCTATGACGTGATGCTACCTTTGATGCTTAATCATTGTTAAGTTGGGTTGAACTTCTCTTTGTTTCTTAGGTATCTCACAATGTCCATCTTTTCCCAGACATCAGTTTGGTGTGAAAATGAAGGAAGAAAATTCCACAGGCCATTCAACATGCGGTAAGTCCTATCAGGATGAACACAGTGTGGCACACAAGCATGTAGGTCATGTCAAACTTACTTGGGTTGTATGCTGTGTTATGTCCCATGGTACAGCTTGTGCTTAAGTGTGGTTCCCATCCTTAAAGTTCCCAGCAAGTTTTGGCTTGTGTGTGTTACGAAATTGGGGTGGAGGTATTTGCTTACTCTTAAGAAGTTCTTCTGCAGGCGAGGTATGCAATCCAGAAGTTAGGTCTAACTTGCTGGGCGATTAAACCATGCATTGATGCACATTTAAAGGAGTTGGAGGTGGTGGAGATGAATACATTTTTACACTGACAAACACCTATAACCAATGCTGTTCAGTAATATTGTGCTAGGCGGTGGCCTGAGCTGAAAGCAACAGTGATTTTCCAGTATCACAACAATAATATTTTGGCCTTGTCATGTATTCTGTCACATTGTGTAGGTGATGGAGGAAACACAGCTGGAATATCTGAGAAATTTATTTTGGATCTACTACTTATTACATCATCTAGAAAGGAAACCTTGATGGCCTGCTCCAACTGTTACATTGTGATGAAGCCTTTTCCTCTGCCTGCGCTGGGTGCATGGGCCACTGGTGCCAACATGGGCAGCCGATTGCCAAGAAGCGAGGTTACCGTACCGTCCCCTGCTAACAGCCGAGACGATCGGCTACTGGATACCAGTGTCGATATCAGCCAGACTTCGCCAACTCGAGGCTGATGCCCACTGCGTCCTGACTGGTGCCGGTGTCCACGGTACCAGGCTTGTGCAGTAAGCGCTGCTTCTGGGTATCGAACCCTTTCTCTTCCAAACGCTCTGTAGGTGCGAGGAAATATAGCTGAAGCCATTTCGAGGGCGAAACATGGATCAGCATTGTTTCATAACACAATGCTGATGTCTTTATCAGAATTGTGTTAGCTATCGCAGCACTCAATCACCAGCGCCCAGTGCGCTCGCGTCGTGGACGGACGCGCCGCACGCGGAGATTGCTTCGCTTTGGATCCATATTGTTGGTGTGAGCGCATAGCGCCCCCCCCCCCCCCCTTCCCCCCGTCCCCGTCCACGAACCTGGGATATTTTCTCATATTACGTGGAACGCCCTCTTGAACCTGGGATTTTTTTCTTATACCGATGCAATTTCGTCGAGAAGTGTCGCATTCGCTGGAGACTGGAAACAGCAAGGCTCTGAACCAGCGTGCAGAAGGATCGATGTTTACACCACGATGTCATTGTCATTGACAGGTCCATGATAAGGAACCCTTGCGCTACACTCCCGGCGGAATTGTATATCGTCCAGTCGACCATGTTCAGCGTGCGCCATTGGCCTGGTGTCTGGTTTGCTATCATGGGGTCCTGACCCGGCGTGCACCGTCAACGGTGCGGTCCTGGCAGGCTGGCGCGGTCCGCCGGCCACGGGATGCGCCGCCCGGCCACCCCCCACCCGGCGTGACATGCCTGACCGATCGGGGCCCAGGTCAGCCGGGGCGTCGGGGAGGGCGATGCTGCGCGCCGGCGGGACGCGCCTGCCGGACGCGCCGTCCCCCTCTTCAGGTGACGTGTGTGGCGTGCGTGAATAGTGTGGGCGAAAACCAGACTGACTACCACGGAGGTACAGTCGGACGCTGCCTGATGCGCGTGTTCATTAGATTGGAGCCCTGCACGTTCCCAATTCAACAGAGTCAAGTCTGCCACAGGTAGACTTATTGCTGGCGAGCTGCAGCCCAGGAGATGGCAGCAGGTGGGAAGCGATCATAATGTCACTGGATTACGTGCCATCCGATGCTCAGGAGTAGGCTGATGGCACGGCCTACCTCATGGAGGACCCATTGGCTGGGTGTCCCGGCCCAGGACACGTCCTCGCTCTGAGTCACCGGAACATTCCTCCGTTCGCCAGGCTGGAAAAATCGGGGTAGGCTGACCCGCTGCATACCTTTGTCGGCCGATGTCCTGACGGCGAGCGGGTGTCAAAGGCCGGCCGGCAAAAACCTGTACTACGCGTACCTAACGGACGGTAGACCTACATAACGCATGCATACCGGATATTTATGCGGTGCGGATTAGCAGCTTTGTGCAATGAGATAAACTTCTGTGGGGGACGGAAATATGCTTGAAAACTGTTGTTTGCGATCATGCCTGTCGTCAGCTTGTATCATGATGATATATCCATATTTCCACGTAACTGATATATTCGAGTGTTATGTACATTGAGTTTGTGTTCCCGTCCTCCCGATATTATTACTGTTCCTGTCTTCTGTTGTGTGGCATGGTCCAGCTGTTAAAGAGCCTCGAGCGGTGATTTACATCTCATTCCCACAAGCTGGGCTCGAACGGTGCACTTGCGTACCCTTTGCTACGATAGTTCGGGATGAAAAACAACATTCTACCCACTGAACCGGTTGTGGCAGACTTGTCCTTGTCATACTGACTTGCTCGAGCAAATGCGATTTTCCTCCCTTTGGACACACCGAGCAGATGGACACATTTATCTCCGCTGCACATCAGACTACTTGGTGCGACTGGTCATTTGGTGATACTGTGCCACTACGCGCCTCTGTGACACTAGGAGCTACTGTGGCACGAGGCGCTTGTAGGTTGCTAGGCGCTTCTGGGCCACTAGACGCTACTATGACACTAGGCGCCAGTTCTGTTTGGAATTCCAGCCACGGCAATGCCAAGCCACCATGCGCCATTCAATACAGATGCAGACGTCATTAATTTTAGCCTGACAGTGAACTCGATCGGTTCCAGGTTTGATTTCCTTTGACCACGAATATCGGCTCATTTTGTGACACTGCGATTTCTGCGTGTACGTCATGAAGAAAACGTCTGACGCGTTATTTTGCATTATTTTGCATAATAATTATTTTACCCCGATTCTTATTGCAATTTGCTACTACCTTTTGGGCATAACACGATCATCGCATCATAATGATACAAGTGATATTATTTGAACATTGGCGTGTTTCCTATGCTCGAAATAGCATATGCCATTTGATCATACGAGTTGTGTTCCTACTTTTATTTTGGCATGGTCTCATTAACGATGCAACAGTGAGCGAGGAAACGGCTGTGATGAATGCGCTATATTCATATGTGACCTGTGTGAATGATTCATGGTCGGCACTTCGGCATTCTGGTCATGGGAGACTCTGGATGTACAGCAGAAAAGTGCTGGTCCCAGAGCCAGCTGTGACTCATGAGTCAAGGACAGGCGCTTTTCACACTACGCTCTTCCTATTCTTAACAAGGCCCTGAATAAGCAGAACGCGACTGATCCTCCCTTATCGTAATAAACAAACACATCCAGTTTGGAGCTGGTTTGGCTACGAACGCTATGGCATGTACTTTGTTGACATTCACTGGATTCAGCGCTGGAGAAAGGGTGCATGAAAACCTAGAAGGCATTCACCGGTGGAACGATTGCTCCTGATGTCTCCACAACATGTAAACGCGTGGTCGACGTGACGTGTCTCGGGCCTACCATGGTACAACGCATCTCATTACGAGCGGAGTCATGAAGAACGGCAGACCAGCTGCCAGTCTCTCACGTCCTGTCAGTTCGAGGCTCGCGGACAGCTACACCCAGACGTCTTACGCGACAGCCACCACGCGCCGAACGGCGTGCCTCCGAGCGCGGCGCTTGGCGTGCCGCTTCCCTGGTCCAGCGGCGCCGCCAGCGCCAGCTCGGCCGCCGCCTGACGGACGGCCCTGACAACACTGCCACCTAGCGGGCGGCCCGGACAACACTGCCACCGGGGATGTTGTCCAGCACGATCTGCTCCATGTCGAGCTCCTGCAGCTGACTGCCGATGGCCCACATGAGCGGTCGCTCGATGGCGTCCATGACGATGTTCTTGAAGAGGTTGGGGAAGCCGTTGACGCCCAGCTCGAAGGCGTAGTCGAGGCTGCCGGCGCCCTCGGAGCGCAGTGTCAGCGTGCCCAGGTGGATGTCCAGGTCCTCGATGCGCGGCTTCTGCGACAGGTTGAGCGGCTGCGCCAGCCGGGCGCGCAGCTTCAGGCTGTCCACGCTGAACCGGATAAAGCCGTTGCGTTCGAGGAAGCCGAACGCGCTCACCTTCCAGTGGTACCTGCAGCCGCAGACCGCGTCTCAGTTGGTGCGGACGTGGTGGCTGGCACGGAACACGGGCTCAGATGGAGCGAGGTATGCCCACTTGTGAAGGCAACGACGGGCGGCCGAAAACGCTCAAAGAGGTTGGGTCTACCAAAAATGTCGTTTTCTATGCTTTCCCTAAACGAGCGAATAGACTGAACATTAATGCTTACTGTAAGTTCTGATTGAGAAAGCGGTTTTTGACCCGAAAACATCCTGAGCATTTACAATGCTGTCGCTTTTCGCCTCGTCTTCGATCACAACGCCATGGGCCAGAACTCTTTCTGTGATGAAATGCCGTCAGGTGGCCCTCGCCTCCCGCTAGGCTGGCATCAAGGCCAAGACTCAGCAGATTGATTTCAGGGAAGGCAGAAGTCTTCTAAAAACGAAAGACACCACGTGAATCGAGTTAACATGCAATGACCACCAGCGTGACCTTAACCGACCTGGCGAGCCGCCTGACGCTCACGGCCGCGCGGCGTGATGACGCGACCTCGGCCGACCCGATCCGGTCCTACCCGACCCGACCCGACCCGACCCGACCCTACCATCACTGACCTGCCGGTGATGCGCTGCGTGCCCAGCGCCACCGTGACCCGCGCGGTGTAGTCCTGCATGCCGACCGAGATCTCTCCGGTGCGGTGTACCGTGCCCAGTCCGGTCAGCATGCCCTCGGACAGTGTGATCTGACGGGCGGCGGTGACGTCACACGCGGGCTGTCGCCACACACGAGGTGGCCGCGGACACGATGCGGCACGCGCGGGCTCTCCGAGTGACGTGATCCGCGGTGAGAAGCTCAGTCGAGGTATTGCCATCGGCGACTCTTTTGGGAGAGTTTGCTTCGTTTTGACGAGGCCAAGGATTCTACCCACGACGTTGTGCGGAATCGCACTGTCCCTGGCGCGAGATGAAGGCACCAGTTGGCCATGTTGCGGGCAGAGCGGCTACGGCGAGCCCGCTGCCGCTCTGCCCGCCCCGCCCGGGCGCCGGCGCGCGCACCCCGACTCACCTGGACGCCCATGGCGTTGGTGCGCTCCACGGTGGGCAGCACGAGCGGGTCGTAGCCGCCGTCGCGCACCATCTTGCGCACCTCCAGCACGGCCACGTCCAGCACCGGGATCGAGTCGGAGAAGAGCACCTTCTCGTTCAGCTCCCTGCCGAGCGACGGCGGCGGCGCGATCAGCGGCGGCGAGGCTGGCCTGCTGACGCTGGCACCGCACGTCAGGGGGACTGACGGGTGGCGCGGGTGCGGGGATGTTACGCCTGTCACCCATTGAGTACTGGCGGAGAAGGTCGTGCTGGCGGCACGTCCTCGTGGGGAGGTGAACGCATCGCGCCTCGCAAAGGCCCTGGTGGGTGCCTGAGTTTCGCCGCCTGAGACTAGGGCTGAAGAAAGCCCTTGGTAAGGAGAAGTGCCGTCATCAGTGCACTCCATGCCGAGAAGTTGCGGGTTACCTGAGCCTCTCGTTCACGGTGAGGGCCAGCTTCTGGTTCGCCCGGTCCAGCGTCAACGGCTTGACGGCGTCGAACAGGAAGGAGCCCATGAGGTTGACGGCGCCCTGGATGATCCAGCCGAGGCCGCCCAGGTTGTGGAAGACCACGCCGATATCGCCGAAGCCCACGTCGGTCTGCACATCGTTGAGCTGCGGGCGGAGGAGCGGCGCTGAGCCGGGGTACGGCACCGGAGGTGGGCACGCGGCCGCCCTGGCCCAAACGCCGGCGGCGAGCGTGTCGCGCGATATGGAGCGGACTACAGAGGAGGCTGTCGACAGCCGTAATCCTCAGTGAGCGCGACAATGATGCAAGCGCTACAACCGATCTAGTTGGGCGAGCGCGGTTGATGATTCACCGAACGCCTGTCGCTGGTGGTTGGACTGCGCGCACTGATCTGCGCGCAGAGCAGTGCGCTCTGCCCGCCGGCGGTGTCCGTGTGTCAGTGGCGTCGGACGCGGCCGGTGACGCCGGCGACTGACCTGGACGGTGCCGTTGGCGCCGACTTCCAGGATACCCTTGCCCTCGGCTCGCACGTCCTCCAGCGTGATGTTGAAGTCGCCCGCATAGTTGCTCCAGAAGTAGTAGAGCTGGTACTTGCCCAGCGCCGTCAGCGATTTGAAATAGATCTCGTACCGGAACTGGAAGGTGACGAGGTGCGGTGAGGGCGCAGCCCTGTGGCGGGCGGCCGATAGTAGACAGCCCTGTGCCCCTGATAGCCCCTGATAGTAGACACCAGTAGCCTCTGATAGTAGACACCAGTAGACAGCCCTGTGCCCCCGATAGCCCCTGATAGTAGGCACCAGTAGACAGCACTATGCCCCTAATAGTCCCTGATGGTAGACACCAGTAGACAGCCCTGTGGCCCTGATATCCCCTGATAGAAGACACCAGTAGGCAGGCCTGTGGCCGTGCACGGACGCCTGCTGGGTTCTGCTGCATCGGTCTGTTCAAGTGCCAGCGTCCCGCGGCACCGGCGCTGCCGGCCCGGGCTGAGCGACCCCGCCCCCGCTCACCTCCTGAGCCGAGAGGTCGACCTTGACGTCTCGCAGCTCGAAGTTTTTCAGCCCGGTGAGGATCATGTCCTCCAGCTTGACATCGGCTCCGGCCACCTCCTGGTCGATCTTGGCCGGCACCGGCATAGGGTCCGGCACCAGCGATCCTGCGAAAGCGCCTCTGTCAGCCGGACCGCGATGCGCGACGCGATTAACACCGGCGGAGACTCACGAAAGAAGCTGCAGTGTCAGCAACCGATCGGTAGCTGCCGATGAGCCTCTGCTGTGAAGACAATGTTCTGCACTCCACGGCGTTTCACATGCCGTGCACGCGCGATTGACGCTCCGTGTACGGGCACGCGCCGAGCTGGTGCTCACCGGGCAGGCCTCTGGCGTCGTCCTGCTTGAAGTGGAGGATCACCTCGCGGATTGTGTCCTCCAGCGTGGCCTCCGCCTCGCGCCGTATCCGGGACGCGTCCTCTTCCTTAGCCGGCGTGACTGAAATGCAGACGGCGGGTGTGGGGGCTGCGCTCATGGACGCCGGTGTTGTTCCTTCCTCCCGACGTAAAGATGGGAAGCCTGATCGAAAGTCAAGGCCTAAAGCTTGGCACGCTGTAAAGCATCGCCGTTCGTGCTTTCTTCACGAACCTAACGTTTCTTTCGTTCCTATGAGCTACCGAACGCTGGACATTTGATGTGACATAGACGCCTTGATCTTTGTTAATGCTTTTAAGTTGGCCGTTGCAACTAAGACGGGCCCGAAGCTTCTGTTTTTTGGGCGAAAAATAACCCATCTTTAATGTACCGATAGATATTGGATAAGAGAAGGCATCAAGCAATCATTAAAACTAAAAATAGTTAGACGTGGAATATGCCTACAAGATATTTGAAGCATTATTGCTCGATATCTTCTTTACATCGGCAAATTTGATGATCGTTGATTTTCGGCATCAGAACTGCAATCGATCTGCCTGGACAGTACTCACATGACAGCTCGAAGCTGTTGAGTTCGGCCAGTTCTGTGACCCACTCGGGCAGGAACGGCATGCCGCTGCCGACGCCCAGCAGCCAGCAGCAGGCGAGTCCCAGAGCCAGGGAGCGAGCCATCGCGACCACCGCTGTCAGCACACACACACGCTCGGTCGCGGGCGGGGCTGGCGGGGCTGGCGGATGGGGGACCAGCGGTGGCGAGCTCCGCCGCCAGAGTGCCGGGCGCGACTCTCGCGCAGCGATGGGGGATGGCACTGACGTCCGCGCTGCACGTCTGCGCCCAGCACGCTGCAGCAGTTAGTGCGTTATCGGTAACCGGATGAGAGCCATCATGGGTCGAGGTGGTGGTCCGGGCCCCTGCCTATGTCGTGCCACCTCCGTGACTCGGGGTCGTGGGGCAGACCGTGGCTCACTGCGCCGGACCGCCTGCGTGAGCCGGACGGCCGGCGAACACGTGGCGTCATGCTGAGCAGGCGGCCTCCGTGCCGTCTAAACACGGGACCGAGCCGTGCCGCGCCAGCCGTCGCGCCGGACCGAGCCGCGCCGCGCCAGCCGTCGCGCCTGTCTCAGGCGACGGCGCTGGGGCTGGCGCACTGGCAGCGAGGGCACGGACCCGACGCGGCTCGACCGCGCTATGCAGTACGATCCTGGGGCGCCAGAGGTCCGCAGACGGCGGGGCATGTGGCTGGCGACTGGAAATTGTCTTTTCTTATGTGGTGCCCATCGTTTGTTTTGCTTTGTTTTGTTTTGTTCGCCTGACAACGGTGGAAAGCGGTGCCAGTCCTGGTGCCCCGCCCCCAGACACCCTCTTTGTCACGTGGTTTGGAGCGATCCTCGCGCCCTCGGGCGTCAGCCTGTTATGGTGTATTTTAAGTCTCAAGGAAGATATGTGTTATTTTGGTTATACGCTGATACTCGGTGTGTTTAACAAGCAACGTAGCGACAATTGCCTTTACGTGCCACACGCTCTTATATACCTACGTGCATGCTGAGTGTCCTTCGCACAGGTGCCTCCGGAAATGTAAAGACAGTGCAAAATTGCTTTTGGGACATGTGCGCATATTCATGTTTGTTACTGGTGTTTCCATATCCTTTTGTTAATCATGTGCCGTTGTCAGAATTTTTTGCAGTTTTACATATAGCCAACGGTGTGCACCATAACTGCGGTCAAACCAGTGCAGCTACTTTAGTACCTCGGGGTGAGCAGCTAATACAAGACATAATGGAAAGTATGCTTAACAGTGTACCAGTTAGCCGTGCCTGGAAATGCCCACGAAAGACTTTCGATATCCGCATGAGAAATAATGCACATCCGACATTTTTCTAGCCATCAGTAAGCTCGAATATCTCCACCATCCGTTGATATCCGTCACAGGCGAAGGCGAGCACGGCGAAACTGCCCAGCTATAAGCACGCCGCGGCCGACAGCATGCCAGGGTGACGCTGCGGCGTACCACCTGACCTGCGTTGGGCCATCTGCGCAGTGCTGCGTCCTAGTTAGCTGCCGCCCGCTATCCCCTCTGAGCCAGGGTCAGCCAGTCCGTCGGCGCGGCGGCTGCTGTCCCCAGAACACCGACCCGGGTCCGCTCCCCGACCGACGGAGTCGTCTGTCCTCGCCCCTGGTCGGCGCACGTCCAATGGTACCCCTCCCCTCCCCCCTCCCCTCCGTCGAGAGGCCTTCTGCGTGGTGGCTGCGGGCGCCGCCTGGGATCACCGCTGCCGCATCTAGGCAGGGTGGTGACCTCAGCCGTGCGCTCGCAGTGTGCCCTCTGTTGCCCTACGAGGGACGTCCTACGGGCCTCACTGTGGGAAGGGTGGGGCGGCTTTGGTCCGGAGAGGCTGGTGCAGACAGGCAGGGTGGTGACCTCAGCCGTGCGCTCGCAGTGTGCCCTCTGTTACCCCACGAGGGACGTCTTACGGGCCTCACTGTGGGAAGGGTGGGGCGGCTCTGGTCTGGAGAGGCTGGTGCAGACAGGCAGGGTAGTGACCTCAGCCGTGCGCTCGCAGTGTGCCCTCTGTTACCCTACGAGGGACGTCCTACGGGCCTCACTGTGGGGAGGGCTTTGGTCCGGAGAGGCTGGTGCAGACAGGCAGGGTGGTGACCTCAGCCGTGCACTCGCAGTGTGCTCTGTTACCCTACGAGGGACGTCCTACGGGCCTCACTGTGGGGAGGGCTTTGGTCCGGAGAGGCTGGTGCAGACAGGCAGGGTGGTGACCTCAGCCGTGCGCTCGCAGCGTGCCCTCTGTTACCCTACGAGGGACGTCTTACGGGCCTCACTGTGGGGAGGGAGGGGGCGCTTCTGGTCTGGAGAGGCTGGCGCAGACAGGCAGGGTGGTGACCTCTGCGGGTAGTGGAGGGATGCGCCATCAAAACACCGTACGCACAAAGACACGCTGAGGCCTGGAACTCATCTCGGGGCGTCCGTGAGGTGCTGCGTACACTGCGGCTGGGGGCGATGCCTACCACGCTTGACGGCGGTCGTTGAGGCGGCCAGCGACACCTACGCGGCTCTGGCCGCCGCTGGGGCGGGCGTACTCCGCGCCTTCCGGGGTCGCCTGGTCCGACGGTTGGTACGTGTCACCGGGGTCGTGCATAGGCTGAGGTCCGAACTAGCTCAGCGATCTGAGCTGCATGCGAATGTCGACTCTGTCGCACCCAAAGTGATCTATTTGGGATCGCGCCTTCGTTCTGCCGGAGTTGTCACGACCTTGATGGATAAACATTGGTATGCGGTGTTATTCCATTCGTTGGACTAAGTTCGGCCCTGAATGCAGTGCAAACTAAGGACACGGACTTCGTATGACTCCGGCGTGGGACTTCCTCGCATGACCTGGTTTGGCTGAGTCTGACCCATCTGACCCAAGTTTTGGTATAAACACAAGACAACAACCGCGATACGCTACATCTCTGTAGCCATCCGAGCATGTCTTGGGGGTATAGAGAGAGCTTCATCGGTAGCCATGACCACGGCAACGGTAAATCGGTCTCCTTAGAACAGCAGCGTTCGTGTTGAATCATGTTGTTTCCGATACTAGTGTCCTACCAGTGGGCGTTATCTTTGTTCCTTCGTAAGTGCAGTTATGTCTCGCTTCCTTGTTCAAGCGAGCGACCTTCCACTTGGTAAACTGTAGCTGCCTATTGGAAGGCTCCTGACGCTCTTCCTTCCTGGTTAGATTACCTACATAGTTGCGTATGTATTAGATCACGCGCGGCGGGAGCAGATCTCAGATGTTCTAAACATTAACGAGCGGAATGGAACTCGCTGATTATTTATGTTCCAGCGCAGTGTTTATGAGGGGCTCCAACTGGTCTTAACCGGTTCTTTCCTCTGCGTTTGAAGGCATGCCATGTATCCCACTTCACTGGCACTGCCAGAAGAAAACCCGCATCGTTTAATGAAATCCATAGCCAAAAGTATTGAAACTTAGACCTTTTTCAGCCTCATGCTAAGGTCGGGCGCTGTCCCAAGTGCCCAACCACAGCGCCACCGACGTGCCTCATTAGATGAGTTGATGCTTTTGTTGGCCACAGATGTCTCGTTTGGAAGGCTGTTTTAGTGATGAAATGTATGCTGAGCAGGGTACATAAAACATTTCTGACTGAGCCATCTTTGTGACGTTCCGACTGCTGTCTTTTTCAATTATATGTGTCCGAGGTCTTGAATTTTAAGATTTTGTCCGGAACCATGTCTTAAGCTCTGTTTTTTCCGAATTCCCCACCCGCCACCTCAGGTACCTGACAAAGCTGCGACGGGGCCGTGACCTGGACCGGCCTGCCCCGTCGCCCGCTCACCACTCACGCGCTGTGCCGTCGGACACCCAGTCGGCGGGCTGCTCGGTCGGCTGGCGCCGGTCACTCGCTGCGCGCGCGCTCCGCTCGCTCGGCGCCGCCTCGACAGGCAGTCACGGCCGCGTGCACAGCCGATGTCCGCTCGCCCTCGCTCTCCGTCGGCCGGCCTCCGTGCCCCGCCGTGCCGGCGCACTATCTGATGACGTCGGCCGCCGGCCGCCGGCCAAAGGTCCGCCGACCGGCGGTGACGCGGCCGAGGTCCGCGGCCGGGGTGACGCCCCCCCCCCGCACCCACCCCCTGCGCCCCTCCAGCGGGGCTGAGCACGAGCGTCCGTGGCAGCCGCTCCGCCGCAAGATCAGGCGGGCTGGAGAAGAAGCCTTGGGGATCCCGATTCGGGTGGGTTGTCGGGTGGAGTCGGTAGGAACGCCGGCCTGATCTCCGATATGATATCGCGGACACCGCGGCCGATTACCGTGCGCTGTTCGTCTGACGGTTGGGCCGTTGTTTCGCCCCGAGTCCACAGTCCGCCGGCTGTTGTACGCTCTCTGGCCAACAGTACACGTCAGCTCACAGGGCTTGTCTCCCTGGTGCACTGCACTCTGCTTCGTGGCAGTGACGGTGGATCCAGGAGATTGAAGGGGGGACGGGGAAGGGGCGATTGCGGCCTGGTTTCTTTCTACGCAACGCCGCACTTGTGTAGTGTTTATTTTTCTGAAGAAGGGGAGCGCCGCTTCCTTCTACTCCTGCCCCGGCTTGCGCTGCCCCTGTCCGCGGAGGACGGCGCCGGCTGGACCGGCATCGCGCCGACCCTGGAGCGCGCAGGACGGCCGCGGCCGCCCGGGTCGGACCCGCTCCTCTCTTCGCGCCGCTCTCGAGACTTGAGGCCATGTGTCGCTGAATAGCGGGCAACTCGAGACCGCCGAGAGTCCACGCTCGTGCTGAGCCGAGCGATTCGGCAGCACGGGACTGCTGCCATTCTTTTTGAATATTTGAATTGCGGCTACCACGTACAGTCTTCAAGGGAATCGAACGCAATAAAACAAGGCGATAACGCACGGGAGGCGTCCGGTGCCCCGCCAGACCAGTGTTGTCTCGGCACCAGACCCGCCATGTGTCACCAGGCGGTGACGCGACGACACAGACCTCGCCCTGCGGTGCTGGCACGTCGGGTCTGTTGGGTTCGGGGGGAAGGGGGTCCTGTCCGCCAGCTGGACACAGACCCCGTCCCGTAGTGCTGGCGCGTCGGGTCTGTCTGGTTCGGCGAGTCCTGTCCGCCGGACAGACATAGATCTCCCCCTGCAGCGCCGGCGCGCCGGGTCCGTCTGGTACGGCGGGGCCTGTCCGCCGGACGGACACGGCCCACATCCTCATTGTCGGCGGCGGCGGGTCGCGCTCATTCGCAGGGCGCAGGCTGCAGGCGCGGGCGAGGTCCCTGCGTCCGACGCTGCGGGCGGGGTGCCGCGCTCTGCCCCTGGTCGGGGCGCTCACACGGGACGGTCGCACCTCGTGCCGATGGGCCGCAGCTCGTCTGACGTGTAACGGTGACGGGACCATAGTACGGCCTGCTCACATTGTCACTCCGCAGCCTGGAGATGCGCTCGGTCTGCCGACGCTGTCGCCAGTGCCGCAGGTCACAGTCAGGTCGCACCAGTCAGGCCCGACGGCTGTGGACGCTTTCGTGGCTCTCCCGCCCTGCCGGCGGTCAGGGTTAGGGACGGTTGCGGCCGCCCGGGTCGGACCCGCTCCCGCCTGCCACGGTCAGCGATTGTTAGCGACTCCTTCAGAAATGTCCTGAACTCGTTACGTGATGATACTCGACATATGTCTGCTCTCAGCGCACAGTAACGATAGCTCTACACACATGGTATGTATCTGTTGGTGCACACATGTAGTTTCACATTATAAATCGTTCTTTAAACTCAAGAATCACCTCATCCCAGAGGATTGCAGCTTGCTGTTGTATTCAGCTCGTAAAGACGCATTGTGTACGAAAGGGCTTGTACGGGCTTTCTGTCTCTGAACCGGAGTTTTCTCGACATTTGTAACAGTTAAGCAGTCGTTTTGAGGCACGCCCAAGCGGCCTATCGGTGTCGCCCACGACCCATGTACAGATGATGCAACGGGAGTAATCTGGGTCTGGGTCTACGGTGGTGCACGATGATTCAACGTGACGAAATCTGTGGAGTTGAAGCCACTTATGGAGGTGAATTAAATCATCACAATAGATTTTAATTGATATTGTAAATTTTCATCGATGGTGATTTCAGTGTGAGCAGTACTTATCAGTGTGGCTCGGACAGTTTCCGGTGCATGACTGACATGTTTGCAATGCTATGACAACAGCCAAATGGCCCCGTGGGGCCACCTGGTATTGACTCCTCACACATGGCATGGCTGACACGTTGTAACAAGGCTTACCGTGTTGGCTAGGAATGGGCATTGATCAGTCTATGATGGACGCGGCAGACATCGGACGTCGCACCAAAGCAGTGTGTGTAGCCGCTTGGAGCAAACTGCAGCATCTCTCCTGTGCGAGTAGTTCCCAGACATAGAGGCATGTTTGTGTTGATGTCTGGCCGTGTTTGTCCGTTTGACAGCGGACGACATGAATTGACAAATTTGGACGGGATCTCCGGGTGACAAGACGAGCCAGGCTTGGCATGTTTGCCGGGAGTGCCAGCAGACCCAGTGATCCCGCCTTCGGCGCGCGGCACCAGTTGACCGCCACCCGCCTCAGGAAGCGGGCGTTCATGTGGGTCAACCCCACAGTGCCGACAAACCCTCGGTGTGTTCCGCATGATCCCAACACCGCTTCGACTGTTCACTGATTTCAACTTCGCTGCTCTGAGCAGTCTCATCCCGATGAGGTGCGGCTGTGCATCGGCACCGCACCGTCTCATTGATTCGTCAGTGGCCCGGCACCGTGCTGTCTCAGCGACTCGTCACAGCCCTGCCGTGGGCCCGGCCGGCCGGGGTCCGGGCTGGCCCGTCCCCCGGTGTCAGCTGACATCTTCGCGCCGTGCCTGGCCGTGTCACCGCCGGCGTCCTGAAACGCTGACACGCGCCAGACGCCGCCATAAACAAACTGCCGCACCGTGCTCTCCGGTGCGGTCCGTACCAAACAGGCCAGCCGCCACCGTGTTTGGCACTGCGACGGCGCAGGCTGAACGAGACGAAAAATCCAGTCTATAAACAAAAAATATCCCCTGGCTGTGGCTTCCCAGGGTTGTGTCGCCGCATTACTGGACAGTCAGGACAGCTGGAAATGTGTAAGAAGTGTTTACTGTCAGGCCTTTTTCGCAGAACGCTCGCTGTTATGCTGCGGTGACGAAAGTGGCGTTGAACATTTTGTTGCATCTGATTGCTGGCGGAAACCGCGAACAAAGACAGCATGAAATAAAGTCGCGATCCTGGAGGGAGTATGTCGGCGGTAAAACTATGACCTGGGAAGGTAGGCAGAAGTTAAGGTATACCAACAATCTGAATGGGTGTACATGGTTTAGCTCAGGAGCACCTCCAAGCATATAAACGTCTCAGGTTAAAACATGCAAACAGAATTGGATAAAAAGCCACCCATTCGATTCAATATATTCGTCCAATTAGGTCTGACTCAAATTAAACGGAATTTTAATTTTGTTTTTTTGAAATTTGAAAAATAAGAATTTTGTTGACTGAGACAAAGTTATTGATAGATTACCGTGCTTGGCGTTAGTTGATGTTCGGACGTTTAAGTTGCACGGACACTAAGGACGAAGGAAACCGAGAACCACAATCTGTCCAAGGCTGAAAACGGGCTAGCGCCACCAGGACACAGCGGAGCTATCCACCACCACTTCTTTGACCGTTACAAGTGTGCGTTTGTGCCACGCGCGCGCGAGCTTTCTGGGTGCTGGTACCGGACTCCGATCTTAGAGCGGGCCCGTCCGTCCGAGGCATCGCGGTGTTGCGTGTATGCAGAATGTCATGGCCAAGCATGGATATGGAGCGTGATGTGAAGCGGCTGTCGCTATCAGCCGCTTTGGTGCACGCTGCACATCGGACATGTGAACACCAGCGTTTATCCTCCCCCCCCCCCCCCCGAAAAACGAACTCAGACACTCCAGAGAGCTTTATCCCTCCATGAAACGAGCCAACGAAGAATTTTGCATGGGTGAAACGGATCAGTGGAAGTTTAAACCGACTAACGTACTGAGCATTATTAGGGGAGTGGCGAGTGTTTGTAGGCAGCTCACGCAAACTCTGCGCGAGGGTTCATTCTGTTATTCTTGCTGAGCCATATGCCAAGCACGGGGGCTGTTTGGCCGTTTGTGGGTGTTGGTCGGTAGCTGCAGCGGTGGTGAAAACTCATTGCTAAATCGCGCATATTTTTATTTAAATATTGCATGGCGTTTATCTGACGCTGTTCTGCTGCCGCCTGTAATACAATAAGCGTCAGCGTCGCAGCATGCAGGTGATGTAGTTAGACGACTTTAAACTGAGAAGTGGAATGCGTTGCGTTGAGGTTGCGAAGAAGTCGTTCTGCTTTGCGTCTCAACGGCCGCCACATGTAAGGAAGCTAGGCTCCGTAAATCCTTCCATATTCTGTGTTGTTACTTCCCCGCTCAACTGTTTCACTGGACTGTTGCAAGAAAATGAATGCCATCTGTTAACAAGCATGTTCCAGTCAGCTGACAGTCTGACAGGACCGCCACCAAGTGCATACGGTCGCACTCTCCACGCGCGGTTATGAGTATGTTTCCCGGACTGCTGTATCTTGACCATCGCGCTCCCAGCCGGCCGGCCGTATTCAACAATGCGCTGTCAGGGGATCAAATGAGCATGCTAGGTGGTGTTTGGCTTACGAATGGTTTACGGTGCCGCTCGCCGGTGATCCCATAGTGTTATTTTGTCGCTACGGTCGCAGCCGCCGCGCGCGACGATAAGGCTTTTTGATTGACCCCCGTAACCTTGCAAATTGCCACTGTGGCTGGCCTAGCAGCATTGAGTGATGTGCTGCCAGATGCTCAACCGAATGCAATGGGTGCCCTTGGCCGACAAACGCTTTCCAGTGCAAGCTGGCAGCGCTACCAAATCGACACGGTAACACTTCCGTGTACGATTATAAATATTTGCGGGCTGCCGGATGTTAGCCAACGCGTTACCGGACAGCCAGGGGCTCATATGAACAAAATAGGTATTGTCGGTAGACAGTTACTGATGTAGCCGTCCGATAGTGCATCCACAGTGCTGTCATATGCACGCGGTCGAACCCGCAGCGCGCTGCAATAGGTACTTCCGTTTTGCAAGCGAATTGGGATGTGCATGCTGCCAATAAACTGAGAGATAGAGCCCCGGTTGGGACCATGGGCGTCCAGCTGTCGTAGGGTGAGGCGGGAGGAAGTGACGCTATGCCGCCTGAGAATAGGCCACACATACGCAACTCACCGATACCTGTTATGCGGGGAAGACCAACCGCGGTGTCCTCGCTGCGGGGATCGTTACACCGTACGACATGTCTTGATAGATTGTGCCCACCTCGCCTTGGAACGTATGCCCCATTTTGGATCAGGGTCCTTGCGTCCAACGCTCTGTGGTATGTTGGGAGACGATTCCAGCTCAGTACATGACGGCCACATTTTTAGTTATCTTGAAGACGTACAATTTCATGTCATATATCGAACGAAACTTTATCTCCCCGCTTTTTCAGGCAACTGTTAGATAAAAAGTAGGTTATGGGCGCCATATGACCAACGTAGTCAGTGCGCCCCAAAGCCCAAATCATCATCATCATCATCAGGTACTTTCGTTCGGCCGCCGTAACTGCTGCGGTCGACCCGGCAGCATTGAGCGACGCGCCGCCAGGGGGCCAGCCAGATAAAATGGATGCCGTCGGCCGACAAGCGTACTGTTGGGGAAGGCATCCACGGTCATTCGGTCTTGGGCCGAAGCCATGGTGACGATAATGCAACGTGAGGGAAGTTTTAAGTGCCGAGGTAGCCAGCATGAGCGCGCAGTCTATTGTTTTCTTATTCCACGGAATCCAAGGTAAAAAGAAATGCACTTTTTGCACGAACGGGACCGATTTACATAAATGACTTATGTATGGCGAATGAATGAAGGATTAAGTATGCCAAATGATGAAAAAGAGAAGGCGAGATGTAGAGGAATGTAATCACACATTGAATTATTTAGCAAATATTGTTGAAAATCAAGGCGGGAATCAAACATACACTGTATACACTGCACATCCAAAGAAACATACAATCAATGGTAATTTTACGCTGGGGGAACTGGTGTGTGACAAAGTAATAGCAGCGGAACCTCAGCGAAGATGAAGACGTGGAGGAAAACTTGATCTTGGGCTCCCCTCTTTCCATGCACCACCAGGGGGGTGTCATTACATTTACGAAGTTGGGGAGAGGAGACAGCTGTCCCCCCAGTGCTCCAGATCCACTTCCCCTTCGTGGAAGTTCAAAGCTGCTGTGTTAAACACAAAGCAATATGTCGTTGGACATCAAACATTCCAGTACGAAATATTGGCAAGAGTCGTAACCAATCGTCATATACAGCATGACGGTATTGATTGCTGTAGGCGGCTGTTGCGAGTTGTTGCGGCTATGCCCCGACAGCAATGGCGAGGATTGAGTGGCGTTCGTTGTTTGGAACAGGTCTATATACTAAGGATAATTTTGTTTGCGTTCGGTAGATGTTTTCTCGAATAAGCATTTAAACATGCCGCAACGTGGCCTGTTATTCGATGGTGTAGAACGCTCATCTTGCGTTAAAGGGGGCCAAATTTTTAAGCGCCGCCCTCCCGCCTCATTTTCTTGTCCTGAGCGAATAACACGCCAGGTGACGTATCCCGTGTATATCCTGTGTATCCTGTGCAATAACACGCCGTTATCGTCCAGGTGACGCATCCTGAAGGAAAAGGTGCCTTATGGCCCGTCATGTCAACGTGTTTTAGGCGAATGTAGCATCGTGTCCGTGTCGTAACACCCGATGTCAGGGAACCGCCGCCCCACTGCTCCTCCTCACGCCCTGCTGCAGCCCCATGCGCCCGGCCTTTCTAACATGCGTGGCTTGTGCTGCAGGAGACCACCGTCTGACGGCGGACGAAATGGACAGCCAGCGGCAGCAGAGCGTGGCTTACGAGTATCTCTGCCGACTGGAGGAGGCCAAACGGTACGGTGGACAAGAGAGCACTCCGACGCGTGGTATTCCTTGTACGCTCTTATCCGGCTCATCTGCATGTACTGATCGTTGTGCGTGACCAGCATTGTAATGAGGTGCCAGTTGAACTCCGTGTGTCACTCAGGTGCTGTTCTATCTCTGCGGCCGGTGCAACGTCGCCCGTGACTCTGACCCCGCCCGACCGCGGCGCCCTGTCAGTCTCCACCAGTGTACGGCCCGCGCCCTAACCCCCGCCCGCCGCCGCCGCGCCGCAGCTGGGTCGAGGCCATGCTGGACGACGTCCTGCCGCCGACCACTGAGCTGGAGGAGTCGCTGCGGCACGGCGTGCACCTGGCGCGCCTGGCGCTGCTGCTGCGCCCCGACACCTCGCGGCGCGTCTACGACCTGCAGCTTACGCGCTACGCCGCCAGGGGCCTGCAGTTCCGGCACACGGATAACATCAACATCTGGACGCAAACCATGCGGGAGATGGGGCTACCACAGGTGAGGCAACCGCCTTGCATCCTATTGTTTTGGTGTGATTTTGGATTTGTCCTTTTACGCAATTACGTGTATTGATCATCGTGTTCAGTTGGCTAGTCGCCGTTTTTGTTTCAGTTGCAGTGTCTTGGACGAGCGAGTTGCCGTCGCATGAAGCACTTTTTACATATTGCTTGTGCGTGCCGTATGACTGCTGCGGTGAGGCTTACAATCTTTATGAACTCTATTAAAGCGTTTTGCAAAGCTCACCAGGAGCGCAAATAATCACTAATCTCACGAGCGTTTCCGCAGCCATGCGACCTAAATGTAATCCGCCCCGTCAGATCTTCATCCCGACGACTACTGACGTGTACGAGAAGAAGAACATGCCGAAGACGGTGTACTGCATCCACGCGCTCAGCCTATTCGCCTTCAAGCTGGGCCGGGGCCCACAGATGCCCGACCTGCTTGGCAAAGCCGTCTTCACGGGTGAGATGGAGCGGGATGCGACGCGGCGGCACCGCACAACAACCCGACCATGCCGGGCGCTGCTGTCCGCCGCCGTTCGGCGCCTCTTCCACCGCTCCCATTGCCGTGGCTCGTCGCTCCGACCACACCGGCGGATACCCGGAGCGTCAGTGGCCAGGCCGTGTCTCGACCCACGCCGCGGGCGCTTGCTCCGTCCCCCGCCCTCGCAGTGTAATGAATCCGTGGATCGCCGTCTCCTCTCCGCGCGTGCGGCGACGCTCGGCCGCCGGCCGGAGCGTCCTGACGCGTCCGGCGCTGCTGGCAGATGCCGAGATTGACGCCGTGTCGGCCGAGCTGCGCAAGTACGGCCTCAGCCTGCCGACGTTCAGCAAGATCGGCGGCATCCTGGCGCGCGAGATGCCCGTCGACAAGGCGGCCCTTCACGCGGCCGTCATCGTCATTAACGAGGCCATCGACCGACAGGTGCGCAGAGGGAGGAGGCGGGGCGCCGGCGGCGTGTAGTCAGACCGCGGCTCGTCTCGCGCGCTCCTCGGACTAGGGAATTGTGTGTGATTATCAGCGAAACACTGAATGTCGCCGACATGCTTGGCTCGATTTGTGATGTTTGGGACTAGAGGGCGAGATTAACTGCGCCGAGGAGTGGTCGTGGGGCAACTGTCCGGCCGAGGAGGATGCATGCCCAGGGCCCGCACGAGTTTTTCATGTGCGGATCAACTGTCCGCTGAAGGTGCGCTGAGGTCTCGCACCTGGCTGTCAATGATGCATGAGGAAGGTGTGTGTTCGAGCCACGCGTTGCACGCCGTCTCGACGACATTCGCGCGTAAGGTGCATAATTTGAACTAAGGTGGAGACCAGATGACCCACTCCACTGTGTTCGATGATATTCGAAATTCGAAATTCCTCTTACCGCTCCCCTACCCTGCCTGGAGCTGCCCCGTGCTACCCCGCTTTGCCCTGCCGTGTCCTGCCCCACCAAACCCCGTCCAGCCCTGCCCTGCCCTGCCCTCCGGTGCCCTGACCTCTGCCGTGGCGGCAGGTACCCGCCGAGACGCTGGCCGGCCTGCAGAACCCGAACGCTCACCTGCGGGAGGTGACGGCCGAGAACGCTGACCTCTACCAGAGCCGGCTGGCGGCGGCCAAACACAGCAAGGTGGAGGCTGCCCAGAACCGGGTACGTCTCGGCCGCCGGCGCTCTGGGTCAGGAGCGGACGATTGCGGTCGCGATGTGGACATGAAGTTAAAGTCCTACAACGCTGATGCTGGGCATATAGACCTACGGTCATTGTCTTGCTCTGGTTGCAGGTTGAAAGGACACGTGGTCATTGTCAGCTCTTTTGTGACATCAAACACAGCACTTGTTCCGCTGTGTTCAGGTGCCTGACTGTACGGGAGCTTCAGACTATAACGTTTCTTTGAGTGTCTCAGTTCCGATCGTTGTGCCCGACACGGTGCGTGACACTGAGGCTGTCGCTCTCTGCAGTCGCTGTCGGAGACGTTCGAGGCAGACGTGTACGACGAGCTGCTGACCCAGGCCGAGATCCAGGGCCACATTGGCGCCGCCAACCGGGCGGCCGCGCTGGCCCGTCTGCACGAGGCGCTGGCTGGCGGCGACCCGGCCGGCCTGTGGGCCGCCCTGGCCGCTCCTTGCCTCCGACTGCAGGTCAGTGGCGTGTGCCCCGCCTCCGACTGCAGGTCAGTGGCGTCCCCGCCTCCAACTGTAGGTCAGTGGCGTCCTCCGCCTCCGACTGTAGGTCAGTGGCGTCCTCGCCTCCGACTGCAGGTCAGTGGCGTCCTCCGCCTCCGACTGTAGGTCAGTGGCGTCCCCGCCTCCGACTGCAGGTCAGTGGGCGTCCCCGCCTCCGACTGCAGGTCAGTGGCGTGTGCCCCGCCCTCCGACTGCAGGTCAGTGGCGTGTCCCCTGCCTCCGACTGCAGATCAAGTGGTGTTCCCCCGCCTCCGACTGCAGGTCAGTGGCGTCCCCGCCTCCGACTGTAGGTCAGTGGCGTCCTCCGCCTCCGACTGTAGGTCAGTGGCGTCCTCGCCTCCGACTGCAGGTCAGTGGCGTCCCTCCGCCTCCGACTGTAGGTCAGTGGCGTCCCCGCCTCCGACTGCAGGTCAGTGGCGTGTGCCCCGCCTCCGACTGTAGGTCAGTGGCGTCCCCGCCTCCGACTGCAG